AAAGCACTTATAATTGACTAATCCTTTTTAAGGGTATTGCTTAGTGAGGGTCATTCCAACAGCCATCTAATAAATTCTGAGTAGTATTTATTCCCATGAACTGCATACACAAATATGCTTGCTGTGCAGGTAGCTGAGATACTAAGGAGAGACCTAAGGGCACACAGCTTACAGGTGTATAGTGTCCTGAATGTATTTCACATTTTCCTGCATCCATGCCCTTTGCTTTCCCCTCATCATAATCTCCCCTCTGTTTCTTTCTTTACTTTCAAATTATCTATATAAATTTGTAGCCATGTTTAATATTTCTTCAACCATTCCATCAATGTGGTTTTTACTATTTTCTGACAACATTAATCATTTTTTAAATTTGTCCCTCACTTTGTTGTTGAAATATTTGAATCTCACTCAGTAGTTGGCCCCTATCCTTGCCAAGCCTTACACTGAGGACAGCTTTGTTAGAAAGAGTTGCCCTTGCACTCAAAATACAAAGATATATCTTGTAAAAAGTACTGTACTCAAGATTAGGTTATTGAGAGCTTCAAATTAGAGTAAATTCTTGGTCCCGGGTGGATTAGAGGATACCTATGTCAAAATTCATTCTTGGTTGACTTGCATGTAGTTGAAAATGACAGAAAGAAAAATGGGAAGATAAGTTTGAGCCATGTAGGATGCGTTCTAGTCCAATAACCCTAAGAAATTTGAGCTGCCATCCCCTTTTAAATAAAATGGAATGAATATATGATGACACTTCAGTAATGCTGCAGACTCCCGTGCACAGTGGAGAAGCCAACCTTGGACAGCTAAGTGTGCAAAAAAATATTAAATTAAGTTAATAAATAAATTAGACAGAACAACAGAGTAGAATATTTACTTTGCCTTTCCAGGGCCTATTTCATCCCAGCCATCCTCTTTCATGACAAGCTCTAGTCCCTATTCTTTTCCTAGGAGTTCTACAATTCATCCTCCATGTTCTGACTTTTTATTTTACACAAATTTTTTATGGATGCACATGGGATCCATACACCATTTTTATGGTATACATGGGATAATTTGATACATTTACATAATTTGTAAAGTTCAAATCAGTGTATTTGGGATAACCATGTTCCCTATTCTTCTCCCTACGCCCAGCCTGGGGATAGATTTTTAGGATTTCTGTCTTTATTGTATCTGATTCAATATCAAATATGGAAAGATTCCCTGATTTATTATAAGTCTGAGTTTTAAAATCTGTTAATAAGTCTTCCTTTACTTGACCTAAATCAAGAGAACATTGTTGTGAGTATTTCGGGTCTATAATTCATTGAGAGATGTGATGAAAACTGAAGGATCAATAAGCTTGTAATATCCCAAAACTTTCATCATTACTGAGATCTCCATAAAAGCTCAGAACTAATAAGGAAAACAAAAACTACAAAATAAACAATAAGTACTCAGAAGTGTCAAGTCATAAATATGTGATAAGTATGCTGGAGGCTTAGAATTTCTTATGAGGTATTTGCCAATACTTCTATGAGGTTCAAATTCTATTGCTGCCTTTTTAATTACATACTCAAATGATGCTATTTTACTTCAAAGATATATCAGTTCCAGAATCTTGAAAAAACAATGTTACAGATCTATAGTAAGGACTTCAAATTTTAAAATGTATGTATATGTACATATATGATGTGCATAACAATGCTATGCACTTCTTATTTTTCATAGCAGCATAATTTCATGATTTAAAGAAATATCAATGTAAAACATGATTTATTTCAATTCAAATTTGTACTTCCGATAGAAACAGGTGCAATTATTTTTACTTAGTGAAGTAAGACTTTATTTCTAAAATAGTCCGCTCTTACTGTACATATTCAGAGGTAGGGTTGTGGAATTCTGGTGCCATTTATTACATAATATACAGAAAAAT